TGAAGAAGGTTTGTTGGGGGATGCGGCAAGTGACGCTGCAGGATGCGATTGATTCCACTGGACAGTTGCCCGGAGTTTCCGTGACGCAAGTAGCTCGGTGGAGGCCATCATGCTTGTAGGTTGGAGGCCATCGCTACGAACGTAACAAGAAGCTACGAACGCAACAAAATGTGAACTCCTTATATAGGTCTTATAACCTCAATGCAGTGCTGATTTGAGGCAAGCCCGGTGGGGAAGAGATCTTGGATCCACTGGGCCAGTGTTGGGTTTGCATTTTGCTGAATCATTTTGATTTGGATTGAAGGACGAGTCAAGTCAAGATGGCCTTTAAATTTACAGACTTCATATATAGCCAGACTCTTGCTATGCTTGTTCCCACCAAAGATTTGATACCAAGACCTTAACCAGTTCCCAAGGTCAATCAATGCATTCCTGCTTGAGAATCTCCCCCCTGGAGAGTTTTTGTTTTCCTAGCTGGGCTAGCCCAGCTAAGCTAGCTTAGCCACCTCACAGCAGCCAGAACACATGGACAGCACCGGTGACAAACGAGGCATCCACCATTACCCACCCTCCGTGGCCCTCCGCGGCGAATGTCGCACTCCGAGGCTCTATCCCGAGCTCGAGGAGTCCCCGGGGGGTACTGAGCGAGCCAGAGACGGATTGCAGAGACGGATTTTTCAAGGAAGTTCGGGGTGGAACAGGTCTCTGTCCTCAAGACTACGACCTCCAGTATTTTGGTTCTTAGCTATAGCCCCAAAAATAACGAAGGATGTGAATGATATTGCACATTAACACGTGTTTCAAAATAGTGGAAAAACTTCACGTGTCCTTCCAGACCACAGCGGGGGGCAGCAGCGGAGTACCTCGTGGAATCGGCCTGCGAAACCGTCGCATGGGGAACCGCCGACGGAGGCGGTTCGGCGTTCGGCCGACCCGACTCGACCCCCCGAAGCCGTCGACGGGATCCGTGCCACCGTGGGTTGGAGGGAGAAGGGGAGAGTCACCATTTGGGAGGCGAACATGGAGGGGCCAGGCCTTTAACTCCAACCCTTTGACTCACCAGCTCATTGCATCTAATTGCAGTTCCATTTGTTGTGTGGTTCGAACAGCAGTAGAACTCAAACGCCGTAGAACCATGTAGAACCATTGTAGAACCATCTTCTGACTCGCCGGAACCCGAGTCACCATGTTGGCGAGGTCAGAATCGCAAGAATATGTCGCCCTTTTTGTTGGTTGCCGAACAACTTGTCATCCACTCGATGCATGGCAATGCCATGCAACGTATTGGGTAGAAGTGCCATGCAATATGCGCCCTGTTTTATGGCCAGCTGCTGGGTGGGAGGACATCTTCCTTTGCCTTTTTGCCATGGAACTCACCATGAGGCCGAGACTGCCCAGCGGGTGCGCGGGTGCTTGCACCATGCAAGTTGCGGTGGATAGTTCGATCGATTTGGGCGATCCAAAGGCAACTAAGGGCCACTGACATCCACTGACTATATAGATCATATTCCGAGCTCTTCAGCATCACAGATCGCATGGCCTACTGAGCGATCTGAACTGAAGGCTACTGGAGCGCTCACCATTTTGCAGTCGACCGCACCCCTGGTATGTACCGCTTCCGAAGGGATCCCAAAACGTATCTCTTCGAATCCGAAACCCGCCCAGTCGTGGGTCTTTGCATGCGCGCGGCACGGTCGACCTCCGTGGACCCCGTGCGGACTTCTCCATAGGCTTTGTGCCTATGGCATGACCGAGTTCTTCAACACCAATGGATCGGTGCCGCCGGGCCGAGGGCGAGTCGGACACGGGGGGCTCCGGTGTCCCGGTTCGACCTGGGCACGAGATGTTCTTCAGATGTTGTGGCCGACCTGGGCAAGTGATCGGCTTGGTAGATCCATATAGATCCAATTCAAGAGCATATCATATGAAATCACATGAATATGATTCGATATACTTTTATATGATATATATCCTGGATCATCCTGCAAGAAACACCTTTAAAGATCCGAATCGCTTGTCCTTCAACCGAAGATCCAACGCCAAGGATTTCTACTGGAATACCTTTGACTTTGCTTTAGTATTTCTAGGAGTCGCGGCCTCAGTTGGGGTAGAGTCCAGTTTCAGGGTGGGTAGATTCACCGTATGCACTCCACGACTACCCTAGGTCACACATCCGTGACAGGTGGGTAGACAGAAAGTCAGGGTCCAGGGTACTGTAAATATTCCTATATATAAATATTCGGGACCCAACGGGATCACGGAGAGTTTCGAGGCAACATGACTAGAGTTTTAGTTTTTAGGGACTATTTTCTTATTTTTCCTGTTGGGCAGTAACTTGTATTATACTAATATAGATTGATCTATTCCTATGCTATGCTGCTATGCTGTAGTTGTTGAGTACAGTTGAGTACATGTTGATTGAGGTCAAGCCCAAAAGAGTCCCTGGCCAGAACCGACACCCAGTGCAGAGGTGATAGACCGCGGGATTTGCCTGCTGCAACGACTGGCCACTGGTGGGGATGCCCAGAAGTTCGGGGATCGGGGGTCAGTCGGCCCGGAGTTCATGGTCAAAGGAACTCTCAAACGGGCTTCAGCACCAGAAAAGCCATCGAACTCTTGTTTTCGCCGCGTGAGGACTTGCGGGTATTTGTTGCTCAGATCTGTTTAGTAACACAGTGCACACCATCCAATGCTTAGTAAGGACATGCGTCTCAAGCCCCGGGCCCTCCAGGTTTGACTCGTGACATCTCGTGATCTCGGTGAATCCGCCGTTCACTTCACGCCGCGACGCGGGAAAAACACCCGGTCGGCCTTGTCCAAACAAGAAGGGAGCGCCATTTCTTCCTTAAGAAATCCCTGGTAAGGCACCCTGCCAGTGCCTTTTAGATATTGCATGTGAAAAGGTAGGGTTTAGATGGGTTTAGATGGTGCACGTTGTTCCAGTATCTTCCAGTGGATGTGCATCCACACCAGATGGTCACTGTCACTGGCTCCGAGTCGGTCGAAGCCAAGCCAAGCACATCTCCCGAAGCAGCGTTGCTTGGTGTCAATTGCGACGACGGTGGCCCAGGTTCTGTGGAGTTCATTGAAAAATCCTAGAGGGCTAGACCACCTCAGGTGGAGTTCATTGAACTGAGGAGGCCTAGACCACCTGAAACATCGCCCGCGGCCGGGGGATCGGTGTCGGTGAGGACCACAGCTCTACATCGTGCTGATGCGAGTCTTTAGGCAAACGGGGCACCTGGGGGGGCTGGAACGTGGATGGCCGAGCTGGAAACGGGGAGGCCACCCTCCAAACATTTCCAAACATCACTTGGGATGTGGAAGATGAGGAGTACCTATAGGTGAGGTCCTTGTTATTATTGTTAATTATAGAGCTATGAGAACATGTGGAGGGTTCACGGCTCTGCATGACACTGGTTTTCGGCATGGGTATAATTGCTTTTGCTTGCTCTTGGCCTCAAGGTAGTGAGCATTGTCTCATACGTACAAACCACCAGCCCAATTTAATCCCACTCCCTCCCCGTCCCTCCCCATCCTTCGTTGTTCTTGTTTGCATGCAAGCCGTCGATGCATTTTGGGAGGCCGGACGCTTTGAACTCTCTTTGAATTCCGCTCCCAACTGTTCAGCTGGAAGCCAATGGCTCTCCAGCTCAGCGCTTCCGTGCCAGGCTTCTGCGCATCTTGCGGATCTTCCGGATCTTCCGAGTGATGCGCCAGCCGGGATGCCCCGAAACACGCACGCGACATGTCGGGTGCTGCCTCCGCGCCGGCGCTTCGCAGCCCGGGGCCGCCGGTTCCGGCGGCGCGCTGCAGGTTGCACATCATCGCTTCGGGTCTACTGGATGCGGTCCAGTCGGTGTTCTGGGCTCGATCCTCAGAGTGAGAAGAGAAGGAGAGAGGAGCAGACTGACACTGTCTCGCATGCGTGGCGTGGCATGCTGTTTCGCAAGTGGCTCTGGTGTGCATGTGCGTGCAAGTCAACCCAAGACAACAAGATGCGACAAGTGGATTGAAACAAAGATATAAGATGATATAATTACAAGGTATCATAAGATGATATAAGTCCAAGTTCAATTACTGTATGTGGCAATGGATTCCGATGATTTGTTGGGATATGCAGGCCGACGTGTTGGTTGTGGTTGGCAGGGCCTGTTAGACGGCCAAAAACTAGAAACACGAGCCAGACGCTCCGTGCAGAGATTCATACAACTCTGGATGCAAGCGCAGCCCCGAGTGCAAGCAACAGCACAAAGCTACACGTTCAAAAATGCATATATATATACATAGTATAGATGTACACATACACAGAATACATATCACACAGAATACATATTATGAAATCATAGTTTCTCATGAAAAGTCTATTCTTGGTGTTGTTGTTCGATGTACACAGGTACCATCGAACGGTTCACCGTCACGTGTTTCTCCTCGTCCTGTCGACCGAACAATTGACACTGTCGACCTCGCCACGCGCGGCCAGGTGAGCGTCATTTGTGCGTTGATCCTCTATGTCTGTGGGGTCACCCTCACCAGGCCGGCGCTGGGTCGGCGCTGGATTGGAAGAGAGCGACTAGGTACACTAAATCGAATCATCCGTGGTACATTTAATTACAACACAGAAGCTCAAACTTCACAAGACTCCTTTGTTTGAAGCTTTCACATGCTTTGATGCTAAATGCTCACTAGAGATCCTCCTTCCTGGTACTAGAAGGATTGATTGGAGAACTATAGAGAATCATAGTGCTTGGACTCACGACTTGGACTTGTTTAATAGAGGGAAGCAGAGTATTTGTGATACCCTCAAGTCTTAAGCTGCTCCTCACACATGGATCATGGTCAGATGGGGACGCATCTCTATTCTCCCGCAGCTGTGTTCGACAGGAGTTCTTCTGTCCTTCGCCACTCCATAGGAGTTGGCAAGGTTTTTGTGGCCTGAGCCGCCACATTGATTTTCAGATCCGACAGGACTTAGTTTTGATTTCCGAGCAGTACTGCCCATGCCCTGTGTCGCTGGCTGTGCCCAACATGGAAAGACCTCGCTACAAACGCCACTCGAGCGTTATGCCACCTCATTGGGTGACTCTGAGAAAGGTTCGGAAAGCTCAGTTGATCACTTCTTTCCAATGTGCTCTCGATGCAATGAGCAACGAGTCGACGAGGACGTGGACGAAAGGTCTTCAACCCCCGAGTGCTTCTTACATGTTGGTGACCTGTGATGTGGTTTCTTTAGATGTGCAATGTCAGGGCTTCAAATCAACACTTAGCCGATAATGGTAATAGATGCAACATGATGCAACTGAAACGTTGGAGTTCTTCTTTTGTGTCAAGTTTTGAGTGGCGCACGCACCAACCGCAGCAACAACAACAGTGATGGTAATGAAGGCAACGGCAACGACGACCACTGAGAGGCTGCTGCAACAACGGGAGCCGCAATAGCCACAGCCACCACCACCTCCACCACGAAGGGCACCGCATTGGCATCGATCCATGATCCATCGTCCGGGGGCGTCCGTTCTGCCAACACTGCTTTCCGCTACCATTCCCAACATCAAAGAGAACTTGGGTACTGGTAGCAATCACATCACAAAGGTTTTGAACTGGGAAAGAGACCTTGGGGGCACTAGGAGGCACTAGACAAATCGCGTACAATACTGAACTCTAAGCTTGTATATATGAGATTGCCAGGGCAGTGTGGTCCAGGCTTATGGTATGATCGAAATGTATTCCTTGTGCGGGCCATGAAAGCCTATGAGGACCAAGAATCCACTTCATCAATCCTAACCCTTGAAACAGTATGAGCGCAGGCCTTTCAGCATGTCCAAGACAGTCATGGACAACCAGGCGCCTATAGTTCGATTTTGGGTCACAAGTTTCACTGTGAGCTACGTTGACCAAGTCACGCTAATTCGTTTTTGCAAAACATTATAAACCGGTCTTGACCGAATTTCAGCTGCAGTTGTTTCCACTCTAAGTTTAATAGTAAAACAATGACTCAGAACCTAGGTCCAGGTGTTGGAGAGGTTTTTGTACGAAGACGAAAACACTATAGACCAATGTAAAACACATGTTATTTAAAATGATTTTTCCAATTTGATGATACTATGGACTGCTACTATATCGGCACAAACGGAAGGCTTACATAACGAACGGCTGGACAAGGAAGGCTCCCAAATCGGCCCCGTTTTGACCAGAGAGTCTGGTTAAACTTCTGGTCATTTGCTTCATCATGCAGCCGGCGCATCTAAGGTACACCCTTCCAGCACCTCGGATGTTCAACTGCTGTGCGTCCTCAGTCTGTGATACCATACAGAGAGAAGTTTGCCAAGAAGACGTTTTTTTTCTGGTGTGCGTTGCTGGTTGGGTGGTTTTTCCTCAGGAAGTCTTCCGTGGGATGGGGAATTCGGAGTCTTTGATTCGTTAGACATACAATGACATTCGTTAGACACTTCCAATGGGTGCCCAATAGAGACATAAGTAGGGTAGGGTAGGGTAGTCCATTGGACACCCCTTGGATGGTCCTGGTACATGTCATAATACTATATATTATGTGTATATAATATATATACACATGATATTTGCCACACCTCATTGCTTGGACACTTCCGGGCTTTGGGGTCGGTTCGGTCCGGTCTCATCCCAGCCGCGGCAGGTGCACTCCACCCTGTGAAAACCACCTGTGAAAATGGCACCACCTCACGGGGATTCCGTGGAGTGAGTGAGTGAAAACCACCTGAACTTGGTCAGACCGGATTTTCGCCATCCGAAGAATTTCGGGGCCATGCCATCCACACACACACACCATGATGATTCGTGACTTCAGTGTAGTGGCCACACGACGACCCAGGTTGGTGGTTATAAACAAGTTGTAATGTTGTTATTTGCACATGATGTTTGGATTCAACCAAGAACCTTCTCTAAGCAGAAAAAACAAAGGTCTTTCACGGTTGACCCCTTAGGGTCACCATGTGGACATGTGGACCTTTCATTCGAGTGATGGTGAAGACGTTGAGACGACGATCTAAGAGGCCCTGCTTCGATGCGAAAGCCTTCCTGAGCCATGTAACTTGGGACTTTGAGAAGAGGTTCAGCTGACTGGACTGTTCTGAATGAGAGAGACCCAACCACATGATTTGAGAAAAACTAAGATTCACCACCCTGTTTGCAGAGAAGCTACGCAGGTAGCAACCTTGATGAAGATGGATAAGATCAAACCACATGAAGAGCTGCTCGCAGGCGCCTTTCAGTCTGGGGATGGATTGGGGGTCCAGCTATACCTGTACTATACCGATACCCACAGCTGGACGCCGCAGCTGGTGACAGGAAACATCACCTGCCAGCCAGCTACTTCCCTTGTGCACTGATGCAATGCGGAGGATTCACCAAAGGACGCAGACGGAAAGAGCGTGACTGTCCGGTCAGTGCTGGAAGATGTCATTGTTTCACTTGTTTTGTTCGACTGTTGGTCGAATGTTTCTGCATTACAAACATTCCAGGACCATCCGAGGACCATCCAAGGACCATCAAGGGGTGTCCAATAGACTACCCTACACTACTTAGAGATCTCCATTGGACACCTTTTGATGGTCTAGCTTGGTTTGTTCTTTACGTTTGTTTTTTCTGAATAGTCATCCCTGAGAGTTGGACTGCATGACTCATTGAAAACCCCGGCATGGTAGTGGTGGATGACTTATAACTATAGCTATGAAAACAGAGCCAAAAACGAAGTTCTGGGGCATGCTTCAACTACCATTACTCATCATTACTCTCTGAGTGTGGTTCCAGGGCGGCGCGTACCAGGGCACCCACCTTCGCTGCGCGCTTCGCCGGCTTTGCAGAAGCTTTGCAGGTGGGGAGCTCACCATTTTCCAGAAGAGCCTTGGAAAGGCCGCGTTTGTGTCCCATCAGTGGATTGGCAAAGGACATCCAGATCCCGAGTTCAAGCAGTGGCTCGGCAGAGTGCTCCAGCAGTTTGCTCGGCTTCGTGCCGTGATTGGTCTTTTTGTTCGGGTCGAAGGGAACATAGGGAACCGCGGTTCGGATGTCCGATGCTGCTGTTGAAAGATTACAGATGGGGCGATGCAATCACAAGAATGCTGTGCGGCGGTGTGTGGACAAGGGGTATAGCTGGAGATATCTTTGGACAAGGGATAGCTGTTTGCTTGTAGGGTATTTGGAGGGGTTGGCTCAGCAACTAATCAGTGATGCCCTTCTTTCCGGAATGGTCAAACTCAATGACCCAGGGTGACTTGTGGGCATTGACCACAGTTGACCACCCTCAGAATCATGAAGACCCCAAGCGTGACTCCCCACGGTTGTGCCTATAGTATGTTGAAAGAGATTGAAAGAGTGTATGTTTTTCCTTAGGTTCGCCCCTCGTACAGAAGAACATTGGATGATCCTTTATGTGGTTTTATGAAGTGCCTTCTTCCAGACCTTTCCTCTATACATTGATCATGTCTTTTCCCACCACACCAGTTTGGCGTTAACTCTCGCTTTGGACCCGGTGACCCGGCACCGCTCAGGATGCAAGTCTTGCAGGACTCGCTGCAGAATCTGATCTCCGGCACCTCTGAGGTGAACGTAGACCTGGTGACCGAGGCTGTGTACTTCCGCTCCAAGGCCGGGTTCCAAGTGGGTGCTTTGAAAAAGCAGCGCTGGAACCGTGGGGAGTTGTTGGGGCCGAAGACTGAAGGGGTGGGTTGGTCACCTATGGGGGGGGCTGGATGTGGAAGTCTGTAATGGTTAAGAGCTGAGGGAGGGGTTGGCAGGTCGACACCTGCCGAGAGAGCCCATGTCCCATCGCTGGGCTGAAGCGATGGTCCACCTTTCGAAGGGTGGTGAATCCTTTGGCGCCCAACATGTCTTAGAGAACCCGTGGAGGATCGACCCCCTCAGCGATCAGGACGGTCGCCTCATCCCTCATCCCCTCGTCGGAACCCCCTCGTGCCTCGTGGCACGGCGGAACCGGCGCTCTGTCAGCACCAGGGGATCAATGCCTCGGAGTGGCAAGCGCAAAATCTCTACTTGTGGTACGACTACTTCTCGTGCCCACAAGCTGCACATGTAAGTGAGCAGGGCCTACAGAAGGCGATCAGCAGCATCCCATCATATGTCTCCAGGTGCGGGGCCGGGCCGGAAACGTGCAAGGAGCCGGAGGGTTTTCAAACCCGACCAGGTCAGTCTACGGCCCAATAGGCCTTCGCACAAATGGAAAAATACACATGCCAGACAGACACGCCTATGTCATAAAATGCATTAAAATGCGCCAAATATATGAGATATTATGAGGTTTGCAAAAGGAGTTCTTACATGTAAACGCATGAAAAGTCATAGAGGGTTTCAACATGTCTCCAATCCCACTTGGTTACCACCCCCCTGAGGTGCGACTTCTTCGTGGCACTTTGCCCGGTGCTGTCCAATCCAGAGGAGACCGAGACCTTCAGCGAGCACAGTTGGGCCCACCGGGGCTGGTGCCGAGTGGAGCGCGTGGTCTATGAGCTCACCTTCAACCAAGGAGCAGTGAACGGTCAGACCAACGAGATGCTTAAACATCTTAAACGGCATAGATAGGGATCGTACGAGCAGACCAATGCCTTTCTTTTGAGCGGTTTCGACTGGATTTTGTGGTTTAATGCGGCTGTTGAGAGGAAGTGATCATGGAATCGAAGGATGCATTTAGATTTCACCCACGCAGATTTCTCACTCTCAAGGTTCGCTTCGTTTTTGGGTGTCTTTTTTGCTGCAAATAGCCCGAGTCGACTCTTAGCAAAGCCTGAATCATCTGCCACCCTTTGAGAGGATCTTGGATTATGGTGAAGAGTGCAATGCACCAGGAGTTGCGCGCCGGTTGGCTGATTTGGCGGGTCAGGTTTTCTGGCCGCCTCACAACTGGGGTGAGCTGCTGGAAACGAAAGCACAAGCATGTCGCCAAGGAATTGCTTTGACTACAAGATACATCAAGATACTACAAGTATCTACCAGATTCTACAAGTGTTTTCCCCAAACAGTTTACTGTTGGGGTTCTCTCTTAGGAAAAAAGGGCTGGCCACGATAGCCGTGGCTGTGCCGTCCACCCTTTCTTTTGGTTTGGACCTTGTCCGGGTTTGTGCCCTGCTTGGCCGCGCCGTTTTCCTTTGTTGACCGCCTTGTCGAGAACCGATCGGTTTTCTTGTGGCTATGAACGCAGGGCGGCCCAAACTTGTTGTTTCCATGCTGTTCCCAAACTCCTGGAGGCTACAGTTCAAAGAATTGATGCCCTGAACAAATCCAGCTGAAATGGTTATAGGGGCCCCTATGCTGATCTGCAAACTTAGACCTCAAGCAAGAGATTCTGTTCGATCCAATGAGTGACCTGTCACTGGTGACTGGAAAAACGGGCGGGGGCGACTTGGCAGACGAACGTTTGTCACACCAAGGTAGCCCCCTTGTCGAACTGTTCGCCGGGAGAGGCGCCGAACTTTTCCCTGGAGACACACGAGAGACGCGCGCGCGGTGTGAATGGCGGACTCGACACCTGGGTGGACGAGAGTGGGATGATTTGGTGAAGGAGAAAGAGAAACAGACCAGTTAGGAGATATCTCAGATAAAAGACCAAGCAACTGTTTTTCTGTCCACACTGTACAGATGAATCAGCACTGCTGGCTACAGGCACCTGTACTTGTTTAGGGCTGATTAAAGAGGGAAAGACACCGACGACGACTCCAGGGGTGAAGCCGTTTGCGTTCCTTCGACCGTTTGCCAGGGGTCCTTCACGGTGGAGAGCGACCGCGATCGCATCGGAGTGGTCTTGGCCAAGTTTGTGAAGAAGAAGTTGCTCTCTTGCGTCTTGGCTTTGGTGCTTTAAAAGTTCCAACCATGACTCAGGAGTCTGTCAAAATGAGGAGTCCTCGGGCACAGAAGAGGAGAATTTCATCGAGTTGGTGCGAAGGTTAGCAGAGGAAAATCTAGGACCGTTTGCAGTCTCTTTTTCGGTGGACTAGCTTGATGCTGAGTGTCCTGTGTTTGAGTCAGTTTCAGCACTTTGTTCACCAAACATGCTTGGCCAGTGGAGGAACTGGTAATCGAGGTGTTGCACCGGGGTGTCCGGCTAAGTCGCAGCTATTTACAGTACAGTACATTCATGCCTCTCGATATCTTGGAAGTGCATTTCTGCCCCCAACAGTTGAGATGTCTTTTTCTAATTCCCCAAACAGTGCGGACACACTAGGGGTTCTTACGGTATTAGTTTATTAAGCGCCGGTGTCTTTGGTGGTCACTTTTCGTGTCCTTTGGACATGGTGGTGATCTTCGACGCGCTCTAATTTCGTGACAGGTGCAATGAATCGTGAATCGTGACTCACTCACTCACTCACTCACTCCCTCCCTCCCTCCACTCACTCACTCACTCACCTACCTCACTCACTCACTCACTCACTCACTCACTCCATCTCACTCCATCACTCCCTCCACCTCACTCCATCACTCCCTCCACCTCTCCTCCACCACCACCTCCACCTCCACCTCCACCTCCACCTTGCACCTCCACCTCCACCTCCACCTCCACCTCCACTCACTCACCACGATCTCCACCTTCATCAGCACAAGCTGGACGCCATTGCGTCTAGATCTCCAGACTTTCTGCTGCTACACCTCTAGACCTCACACACACACACTGTTTGGGGTCTCTTGCCGGGATTATTTGAATCCTCCATCCTTCGTGTTGGTGGGAAAAGTGCAGTTTTTGGATTCCTACAGTATCCAGAAGGATTCAAGAAGGCTTCGGCATCCTACAGTATCCAGAAGGATTCAAGAAGGCTTCGGCGTACTAAGTGGGTCCATGCAAGCTCTCCACTGGACCTTCGGGTATGTCACAGTGGTATACCGTATACCGTATACCCATTCCTCGCACGTTGCGGCCCATTCATGTCGTCCGACGTGGTGAAATCTCGCGGTCAAGGCTTGGAGAACATGAATTTGCCCCACTACCGCTTCCTTTTGAACCAGCAAACCTCCATTTTGAGAGGCTTGCCCGTGAAGCCCATCGAGGCGGGCCTTGAGGCATGCAAAGGATGCCAAAGGCATGCCTTGTTGCTTTGGTGTCCGCCTGAATCGCGCCAGGATGTGGTCCCCGGCTTCGAAGGGGAGGATGTTTTGGAGCGATTTATGTCGCTTTCCGCTGTGCTTGGCAACATGCGGGTCAGGGTTCTGCTTGGAACCCCCGTAAAGTCTAAAGGATTCGCTGGGTGTTTTAGTGGTTTGGAGTCGGAAGCTGCCTGGAAAGTCACCGCCCGCTCCAAACGAGCGAGCCGCGCGAGGGGTTTGTGTGAAACGAAATGGCGGAACATAGTGAGGTGATACTGAGGAATGGCATGTCATTCTTGGGTTTGGCCAAAGGTTTCTATTTTGTTTTGTTTGGATTTTTGTTTGTAGTTTCTTTGATGATGTGCTTCTGAGGTATCAGAATGGATTCCAGAACCCCTTCGACTATGACAGTGCTGGCTGGTCTCCCATGTGCTATGCCTGCATGAAGGGCGACGTCCCCTTGGTGGCCGCCTTGCTGAAGCAACGCATCGACCCCAATGAAAAGATCAAGAAGGCCCAAGGGGATAGGACACATATAAAAGGGGTTCCACGGTCCATCCCGGGTTCCTATATATATACACACATGTTTATATATATATATATTTATACAGTATATGATGGAATGTCATGAGGGTTCAACATACATGACACGCACAAAACGAAACTGTACCCATGGCCAATAGGCCCAAGCTTCATAGCAAAAGGACCGCATCCGTCTTGCATGGTAGGGGAGCCCTGGCCGTAAAGCGCCGGGGCTCCCTACCCACGCGGCACTACGAGCACTACGATCTCCTCATCCCGGAGGACGCGATCCACGAGCCCCTCGATTCCATCTTTGTGGCTGCTGGAGCTGGTGATCCTTTCAGGATTGGCTGGAGGCCTGGGTTCCGCAGCTCGGCAGGAGGTTCAGTTCTACCAAGGTGGTTCCATCCTCCCAAAGTCTTCGACAGATCCACACCCTCTGTGTGCAGACAGAGGTCTACGCCGGGAGGATCAGGTGGACCAAGAGCCCGAAGGCTTTGAGGGTGTGAAGTGGAAGCCAAAGGAGAACGAGGTGAAGGAGGTGATCGTGGTAGTGCCTAGCAATTGGCGCTTCATCCAAAAGGTCGAGTACCTGAAGGAGAAGACCGACGAGGAGGACCTGGAGGTGCTAGTGAGCAACTGGCGTTTCTGGGAGATCATCGCCCACAGTGGGTTTGGAGAGAAAGTGGAAGAAGGGGGAGCAGGTGTGACGACCAAGACCTACTGCCCGAAGGTGGGCCCTTTAGCTATCATGGCTGATGAGAGCCTGAAGTTGGTGGCAGTCGCACTGGAGAGACTCACTGTCCACCAGACGGCACAAGGCTGGAGCAGGCACCTGAAGACGCCTGATCTGTTCAAGCCTGAGAGCCGGGATGCAGAGTTGAAGACTTGGGGAGACTGGAAGTTTTCGTTTGTGAACTACATCAAGGGCATCGACCCATCGATGGCCAGCAACATGGATATGGTTGAGAAGAATGTGAATGGCAACTGTGTCATGGACGACATGTCTGATGAGACCAAAGGCAAGGCCGTGAGACTATACAGTCTTCTGACTTCGTACCTCCGCCACAGACCTCTGAAGTTGATCCGGCACATGAAGAAGGAGAATGGTTTCGAGGCATGGAGGGTGCTTTTGAAAGAGATGCAACCAGCGACCAGGGCCAGATCCCTAGCCCTGTTGAGCCAGCTCTCGAGGATCCAGTATGAAGAGAAGAAGACGGTATCTGAGCAGTTGCCCCAGTTCGAGGCCCTCGTGCAAGAGTATGAGCGCATCTCCGGGCAAGACTACTCCGATGATGCAAAGGTAGCTGCAGTGCTCCTCGCTTGCCCAATGACCATTAGGCAGCATTTGCACCTGTGGCTGACGGACTCTACAAGCTATGAGCAGCTGAAAGATCGCATTGTGCAGCTGGAGGCCGTGACAACGAGATGGGACTCGTCCAACAGCCTGATGGTGCCCATGAGAGCCTCAGCAGATGAAGCCACCCCGATGGAAGTGGATTACATCGGCAAGTCCAAGGTGGCAGAAAAGGAAAAGACAAAGGCAAATCCAAAGGAAAGGACAAGGGCAAAGCAAAGGATGGAAAAGGCTCCTGGAAAGGGAGTGACAAAGGACGCTCTATGTGGGAGAGGTCCAGGGAAGAAAGGAAAGAGCCCAAGTCCAAAAGGAGGAAAGTCTGGCGTGTGCCACAATTGTGGCAAGCCAGGGCACTTTGCAAAGGAGTGCTGGAAGCGAGTGAACCAGATTGAGGAGCAGCAGGTGACGAACCCTGGCCCTGCGACTCAGTATGCCTCGGTGAAGATGGTGAGACTTGAGACCCCGCCTGAGGCAGCATCCTTGGAGGTGTTTGACCTGACTACACCTCGGCAAAATGGAGAGGAAGACACTCACCCTTGGCGTGTGGGCATGGTGTCCATTGAGGACGAGAGTGAAGAGTTCTATGAGATTGAAGAGGATGAGTACAAGGAGTGCCATGAACCGACAGTGGACGTCCCAAGGCATGTGGCTATAGTGGCTATGGAATTGCAGGACGAAGAGCTGGAGGTGAACATGGTGAAGCTGGAAGAGACTGGAGATGATGACACCTGTCTAGTGACGTTGGACAGTGGAGCAGACATCTCTGTGCTCCCTAGAGAGTTTGCTGGTGTTGGGACGAGTGTGGCCAGCAGTGGGGAGTTGAAGATCGTAGATGCCCAAGGCAGACGAATTGCCTATGATGGGCTGACAAGGGCAAGAGTGAGGATCAAAGATCGAGCAGGGAAGACCATCGAGCTTGTAGAGGAGTTCGTGTTGGGCGCTGTACACCGACCAATCCTATGTGCAGGGCGATAGCTGCAACGAGGATGGAGCCTCGGTGGAGTTGAAGGACAGCTGCGCCTGAAGCATGAAGAAAGGTGCATTGAGATCCCTCTGAACACAGAGAGAAATTCCTTGCAGTTTGAAGCAAGGATCTTTGCAGTGAAGTCTCCATCAACGCAGCACGACGAGAAGGAGGCCAGAGTGTTCGCATTGTCAGGCTACTTGAGCAAGTATGTGAAGAGCCTCGAGATGACCCCGGGATGGCATCGATTGCCTAATGGAGCGCTGGTCTTTAGCGACACAGTGGCCAGCCACATGACGAATCCGGGTAGCGTTGAGAAGAGCTAGAAAGCACGGCTCACTCTGGTGAAGAACAAGGATGATACCTGGACTCAGCTGGAGAATGTGGAGGACATCAACAGTCTGGGCAGCATGGCTTTCCGCAGAGTTTCAATGGACAATGAGCCTATGCGCATGCTGAGTTTCTTCTCTCCCACAAAGTTCAAGGACTTCTGGGAGAGTGGATCAGAAGTGCCGATATCACCATATCCCTGCACGGAAGAGTCCTTGAGCAGAACCATCAGGAGGTTGGCGCCAGAAGATTCCTTCAAGAGCGTGGACATGTTGTAAGGTCTACCCTGGAGTTACTCGCCACAAGGCATCCTCATGAAGCACTCAGGTCAAGCCCAGAAGTACCGACTGCCTACGTTAGAGACTGACGCCGCCGAAGAGGACATGAAGCAGATTGCAACAGATGTGGCTGCTGGAGTAGTGACACCGGCGCCAGGCCTACGTGCACAGCCGACCACACCGGGCATTGTAGTTCCTGCGCCTTCAACACCGGCATTGACGTCACCGAGGTCGAAGGGTGACAAGAGGCCATTACTGGAGGAGGAGAGAGAAGATGAGCATGAAGAGAAGAAGGTGGATCAATCCACTTCACCGCGCAGGGCGCATGAGAAAAGGGTGATCGAGGTCAGCGATGATGAGGATGAAAAGAAGGCATGTGTGGAGGTTCCAAGAACACCTGAAGTCCCAATGGAGTCAGCGCCAACAGAGACATCAACGCAAGCCTCACCGACAAGTTCTGGTCCATTGTACCCACCGCATTTTGCGGGAGTGAATGTAGTTGAGGCGCATGGAGACGAGGAAGTTGGTGTAGACTACATCCCAGAGGATGTGATGGAGGAGGAGATCTGGGCTATGGAGGTGAAGAAGGAGATGATCCACCTGAGGTCAGTGAAGAAGAGTTGGAACATCTGGATACCATGGCAAAGGACAAAGAGATCAACCGGATGTTGGAGATTCCAGCCATGGTGGAAGTTGGAGCAGAGGAGGTGGAAGCAAGCGGTGGATACATCATTTCCACAAAGGAAGTCATGTGCTGGAAGCATCGACTTGATCAAGGCGGGTGGTTTCGTCGAGCCCGATTAGTGGCAAGGCAGTTCAGAAACTCAATACAGTTGGAGCAAACATTCGCTCCATCGGGAATGATGTGCTTGCCAAAGATGCTCCTCCACTTGACGTTGAGTGTCTAAGGGGGATTCTCGGTCATGACTTTAGATGTCAAGGACGCCTTCCTGATGTCGCCACAGCCCGCCGAAGAACGTGCATATGTGCGAGTGAATGGCCGCATATTCAAGTTGCTTCGATGCCTACCTGGCCAGAGGACAGCTGCATCACAGTGGTTCCAGCATTTTGCAGGAGCTTGCATCGAGTTCGGGATGAAACAAGATCCCATGCAGCCTACTCTCTTGTACATCCCTGAAGAGCTGTATTTGACAGTGCATGTGGATGATGTGTTCATGGTGGGCATTGCTCAGCGGATCCGGGACTTTGTGAACTACCTGAAGGAGAGGAAAAGCTGGAATGTGGAAGAAAAGGGACCGTTCAACCCCGGTGAAAGATTCCACTACTTGAAGAGGGAGTTCACCTTGATAGAAAGCAGTATGACAGCTTTGAAAAGGATGTGGACCTGTTCTCAAAGTTCTACCGGAAAACCCCGCTGGATGCAAACTTCACGAAGAAGGACACCTCGCCTGTACTCGAAGGAGGAGAAGTCACCAAGTACAGGAGCATTGTTGGGAGGCTAATGTATTTGGCAGGGGAGAGACCGGACGCCCAGTTTGTCAATCAATGCCTGGCGCGACATATGGCGAAGCCGACAGCCCAAGCCATGAAGCATGCATGGCATGTGTGCTCCTATCTGTTCGGCACTGGAGGATTTGGAGTCCGCATCGACAGCAAGAGCCGGGGCCAGTCAGTGATGGACAGGAGGGCATGCACGAGACCTCAATCGGTGCAAGATATGTACGCAGGAAGGAGGAGTGATGGAATGTCATGAGGGTTCAACAGCATGAGGCAATCCTGCGTACATGACACGCGCAAAACGAAACTGTACCCATGGCCAATAGGCCCAAGCTTCATAGCAAAAGGACCGCATCCGTCTTGCAGTGTATATATACATATGTATATACATAGGCTCCAACATGATATTAAAATAGACGGGTTGAAGGTGTAAGAAGGATATGGAATCCAGTTCTTTGAGGTGTCCAGCATCTCATCTCCACCCCAACACGTGTTTTCATGGGGTGTCAAGGTGTGTACTTTGCATCCTACGCCTTGTCCCCGCAGGCGCGTGCCGAGATCAACTTGGACAAAGGCTGCTCACTGATCCACATTTGCGCCAGGTTCAAGAACCATGAAGCCATGCAGCTGCTCTTCGCGGCCAATGCTGCAGTGAGTACTCAAGCGATCCCACATTTTCCAGCGCCTGGGCCGAAAAAATTTTTTTGGGTACAAGAAGAGTATGGCAGTTGAGGCGGTGAATAGACACCCTGAGGTCTCACAGCTGTTGATGGAATTTCCAGCCAGCCTCACTAGGGAACCATTCTTGAAGTACAACCCATGTGTGAGGAGCATGAAATTTGTTTCACCTATTTCTGAGCGCTTCACCACCGCTTCTGGACGTCCAGGGGCTTTGACCGGTCCGACCGATCCTTCCGGCGCCACCCAGGTGGGCGTGGCCGCTCTGGAAAACGACCCCATTGGGATCCGGCTGCTGTGTAGCGTCTCTGCAGACCCAAGGAAAAAGAACCTTGGTGTTTCAGCAGAAAAATTGAACGGAATACCACCTGGCAGCCAGTGAAAGCCAGGGACACCCAAGGAACCCAAAGCAGTGGAAAAATATGAGCCTTTGGAAGATTACGCCTCGCACGGGTGTATCGACTTGAGTCGATCAACTTGTCAAACCCCAGTAATTGGACAGAAATGGGCACCTGACAAAATCATGCCCTCCCTTCCACCAAAGCTTCCACAAAAAGGACCACCATCGTGGCCATCACTTCTCTCGGAGTCGACAGTTGATGGACCGAGGAACCTCTTTGGAGACCATGCCCTGCACATGGCGATCGCCGCTGGGGCCGAGGATGCTACACAGGCGTTTTTGATGCCCGGTGTCGAACGGGGGTGGATGGGGGCAAGAAGCCGAAGGCCATGCTTGGTGTCCAGGATCTTAGGGCTGTTTGACATTTCCGTGAGACCGTCCCAGGTTGGCCACGGATGAGGATGCCGTAGTTTGGGCTGATTGACGGTCATGCGATTGCAATATTTGCAGCTTTGGTGACATTCAAAACGTCTCAAAACTCAAGCTCGCCCATGTAATTTGTGTTGAACCATTGGGTTGTACCCTCGACAAGACAGCAGGCTGCCAAAAGGTGAGCAAGCTTACCGGGGACCCGGTTGGTGTAGCCAATGTTGCTGGCGTGCGTGTTCGTAAGCTTGAATCAGGTTCAACCATCGGTAAGAGTCAGAAAAGAGCATCATCATCCAACACCATGACCATGCCCTACATGGATCCATATACGCTTTGAGAACGTGATGTGTTCGACGCCTGTATCTAGGTTTGGAGGGTCCAGTCAAGCTTTTCGAATGTCTGTAGATCCCTAGGGATGGTCAGTGAACCCACTACGACCTCCAAAACCAGCCTGTGTGGGATCAAACGCGCTCCCATCCATGATTTTGGAGTGTTTGGAGCGTTTGGGCTTCAACCCTTCGTTCAAGTGCGAAGCTGTCCATGTTCCCACACCATACACTGGCAAAAACATCTGCAAAAGACGCTGAGGAGTGAAGCCGAGTCCTTTGATCTCTCCCGGACCTTGCACACGGCCGCCATGTTCCAGGGCACCGCCGTGCTGGTGCGGCGCCTCATCGAGGCCAGCGCTGATGTGGACGAACCCTACTTGGCCAACAACGTGATCCGGATGCTTCACACGGTGAAAGGCACGGTTGAAATGCAAAAACAGCAGGGTTGTTTTTTCGTGAAAGGCAAAAAACCTGTGGGGGTACAGTATTCCTTTTTCTCGTGGCGACCTGAGGGAAGCATGAAATAGGATGCATTCTGCGGTTTGTTTGTTCTATTTTTTGTGTGGTGGAAAGAATTGCATTGAAACCGATTGAAACATGGTTTTGGCGTTCGAAAAGAGTTGCAATTGAAGCTTGCTTATCCTTTGCTAACCCCCTGGCACACCCTGTGATCAAGTTGTGATCTCATTGGCAGGAGCTGACCCCAGCCCGGTAGAACTATATTATATAACAGCGAAACGGCTGGAGCATCCTTGGCAGGAGCAACTCTGTAATATATAACCGCCGTTGGCGTGTGCCGCTCCAAGGCTGAATGCTGCCGCATGTGTTCAGAGGACCAACGTGTCGTGAGCAAATAAAACGAGAATGGGAGCTAGATTGAAGGCAGGGGAAGACACAAAGCAAAGAAACGGCAAGGGCTGGCCCTAGAGCAAGGCACAAATTGACTCCTGCCGGTGGAGCGGGTGAGGGAAAGCAAGTGAGCAACATGTAGCCAGCAAAGCGTAATCAAGGGAGCTTGCCTCAAGGGTGGGAGACGCAACGCAGAGAAACGGCCAGGGGAGGGGAAGGGGTGTGTGGAAGTGCAGAGGTGGGAAAAAGTCGCAAAGAAGGCAACGTAAATCATGAGTGAGCTTAGACGGTGGTTGGTAAAAACCGTGGCTTGATGTGAAGTGTGGTTGGTGTAAAGTGGGGCGTGTTGCAAAATGGTTGGTGCAAACCGCGGTTGGGTGTAAACGATGGTTGGTGCAAAACGTGGCTTGGTGCAAACGGCACGGTGGTTGGTGTAAACGGTGGTGTGGTGTAGAGGATGGTTGGCGTAAACCTTGGATTGGTGTAAAGGGTGGTTGGTGTAAGTGGTGGTTGGTGTAAACGGTGGTTGGTGTAAACCATGGTTTGGTGTAAGCGGTGGTGGGTGCAAACTGCGTTTTGGTGTAAACGTTGGTTGATGTAAACCTTGGTTTGGTGTAAACGGTGGTTGGCGTAAACCGTGGTTTGGTGTAAGCGGTTGTTGGTGTAAACCTTGGTTTGGTGTAAAGGGTGGTTGGTGTAAACCGCGGTTGGTGTAAACAGTGGCTTGGTGTAAACGATGGCTGGTGTAAACCGTGGTTGGGTGTACATGGTGGAAACCGTGGGCAAAATGTTTTTAAAGCCATGGCAAAACGCTGTGAAGTGCAAGCAACACACAGGCAACGCGCGTGCAGGACGCCGACGCCGATGACGAAGGCGACAACGAAGACAACAACGTGCAAAGCGGGGGCGGGGGGGTCAAGTTAGTCGAGGCAAAAATCCGCGCAGAGGAGCAATGTAAGCGATGAACAACTTTGGTACTAGACAAGTACAAGTACAAGCACATCCACAAGACACGCCGGCAGGCCGGCGGATTAGTTGGTATACAACAGATGACAATCGTTAGACGTAAGATTTGGCATTTGCAGGCGTTTCCGGCCAATACTTGTACGAAAGATAGAAATCACAGCCTTTCACAGTTGAATTTGAACCTTGCAGACCATGCACCCTTTCTCGGTGAGTCCCTGAGGCATTCAGTACACCTGGGGCCGTCGCACCATGCTGCGCCGCGTGGGCTACCACGGCCGCCATGCCACACCGCTCATGATAGCGATCCTGTGTGGCAACTTTGAGGTGGGCAGAGGGAGGCAACATGCTTCAGCCTACTAGCGATGGCCTCCAACCTAATAGCAGGCCAGACATGGCCATACATAATGAGTTAGGGCCTCATGATGGTCATGGGGTCCCAAAAACGATGCCGCAAGAGGCCTGTCACTGGAGTCATCCCCCATTCTGTGAGCCCCAAAGGATCCGACATGTAGCACCACAATGGTTGTGGGCAGTGGCGATGGATGATGCCAATAGACGCATGAAAGAGATGCAACAATTTTACCCACACCAAACCTAACAAACAGTAGTGCTCGATTGTTTTTACTTCATAGAATCTGTACACAGTAGTAGTAGAGATAGGTCAGTTGTGCTCGATGACAGATTCCCCAACCAAACCCCCAAACTAATTATCCATGATTGTGTCCTTCACCTCTCTGATAGATTTGGTGTAAACCTCTCGCTTGTAGCTTACCGTTTGGACAGCTATATATAGTTAATCAGTGGCCATTCGGGGTCAGCCCTGTGTCCAGCACATCTCGAGCCCTGGCGGAGGCGGCTTCGAGCTTGCTGGTGGAGGGCGCCAATGTGAATCTCCGGAACGCCCGAGGCACCCTGTGTTGCGTTGGGGGGACAGTGGCCCCCCCCACAGGGTGGGAACCGATTTCGGAGTTCGATGCCAGACTCCACGAGTTTTCTGGGTTCATCTGAAGTAGAAGAGTGAAGAGAACCAGAACAACAGGGGCACTAAACGTTCTTACGTTTGTTCTTCGGACGGTGCTTGAAACTGCAAGGGGAAACAACACCCCAACGGCTAGGAACCACGCGTGGGACGCAACAACTCCGGCCTCGCCGGGCCGGGGTTCTGTTAGACTAATCTTACATGCGAAAAATATCGAAGACACGCATGTTTAAGGGTTTTGTAGCCGGAACATATGAAAACCATGCTCTGGAGGTTGTGTGAAGGTTTGATATGCGTTTCCTAGCCGACTTTGCGGTTTTGTAGCTCTTCACAGATTCCTGTCTTTGGAGGGCCCTGTATTAGGTTGGATCACACACTTGTAAGGACCTTAGGACCAAGATGGGGGGTAGACCACGTTTGATCTATTTGGTGGAGCCGAGCCTCCAGAGATGCAGCCTGACTCCCAGTCTCCAGGCAAGACTGCCAAGGATTTGGCCAATGAACTGCGGGTGCCGGACTATCTTCTGCAGGCCGGACTACCTAGGTCGAGTTGGCTGCGAAAAACCTGGGAGGGATCCCAGGATCCTAGGAGGCTGTTTGCTTTCGACTGTATGTTGGGGCTGTTTGGCGGTCTGAAGGGTTTGAGTCTTCTACCAGTGGTTGTTTGGGTCCAGCAGTATGTGTTTGTTTGTCCAAACCGAATGAAGACACCCAAAGAAGATCAACGCCCGGCGTTCTCAGGTGGAAAGGAACTGCTCAATTTCAAAAAGGACATGCAGCACCTCACAAAATACTCACATGCTAACTGAATCACTGGGGGACTTTTCCTCCCAATCGTTTTCTGGATATTCCGATATTCCATGTTCTTGGTGTTGTCTCGAGCTCGCGCTGGTCAGGCCATGGATGGAGCAATAGAGAAGTGCATCTCTATTGCCGGCAGTCCCGACAGCCCCAGCATGACGCTCGAGCTCCGCGGGATCTGGGGGTCTGGGTCCGAAGTCCAAGACGAACCGAACGATGCAATTGAAAAGAACAGGTGGAGCTGACCCTGAAACATCCACAGTAACATATCGTTCAACCCATGCTCAGAACCTGGCTCCGAACCATTTTATAATCAGGTCAGAACCGCTGCAAAAAGAGATGCTCAACATAAACATCGGCTCTTCGCTTTGGAGCCGTTTTGGGAGCCATGCAGGCCGCGCGCATCCCGTTTCGGCGGACGCCCCAAGATGCCTCAGGTATACTTCGCCCAAATTTTGGGGCGGTTGTATGGTGCTTCGTCTCAGAGTAGGATTCATGGCGCAGGTGATTCATCGCAGGTGGTTTTAGAGTGAAAGAAGTCATTTTGGTTGCTGGGTGGCTGTCCATGATCGGAAGCTGATTGAGGGAATGGCAGAATTGGCAACTCATGTTGGATGTGGATTAACACCCCTACCTCGATAGTCAAGCATCTCTAGGCCGAGTCTAGGCTAAGCCGTGGGGGGTTTTTATCAATCAGTCAACTAAGAATTAATGTTAATGGTAAATAGATATCGTGATATTATGTGATATTTATGTATTAGTTGTATTATGTATCCTTGTTCGTAAAATATTGATAATTAATGATAATTAACTCCAAGATGTGGGGAATTGACTCCACGATGTGGGACACCAGTTCGCACTTCGTGTAGCTGGGCGGCTGGGCCGGCGGCCGAAATCTCTAGACCCGCTTGTGGATTCGAGATCAAGGCGTCTACCGTCTACCCTTGAATCGCACATTGCAGGCGTCTAACGGTGTTTCCCAAGATCTTCTTTGGTATCCTCATTCGATATCTGATGCTTGAGGTCTTCAGGTCCAGGTCACCTGATAGACACTGACCCAAAGCGAGTCTGACGGCCTCCATCCTCAGAGCGATGGCCTCCAACCTACTTGCGACGGCCTCCATCCTAAAAGTGATGACCTCCACCCTAATAGCCATGGCCTCCACCCTAAGCTCGTTTTCCCTGGTCTCAGGATGATGGCACCTTCAATGTCCAGACAATCCTCGTCGTCATCGACATTTGCCATCTGAGCTGATCGAAGAAAGCATTGCCTCACCTGAACTACGTACTCATTTGGCTGGCTGGCTGAACAGGTCCCCCAATAAACATCAAAAACAGCCAAAAAACAGAGGTCTGTATGTGACTTGAGCTACGACCAAAAACCACCAAATTGATGGTTTACTGGGTATAGTATGGTATAGTAATAGTTTATAATAGTAAAATATCATGTATGAGAGCACATATTCTACCAGAGCTCACCTGGAGGTAAGGTTGTCGCTGCCAGGCCAGATCCGGAGGAGTGCAGTGAGGCATTTTAAGTCAGCCGAGGTTGACAAAAGCGTTGGGCGAGACGCAATGATTCTCTGACTGGCCAGCGGACCATCCGTATGGCTGATCCTTTGATGGTCTTGGATCCAAGCTGCAACGCGGGACCAGACAACCATGGGTTTTCGACAAAACCAGGTCAACCTTTCTGTTACATGGCCTTTGGAAGGCCAGGCTTGATGTCTTTGGAAGGCTGGGGTTCATGTGTGGGAGACAGATGGTTGGTGGTCGGGAAGACAGAAATGGTCTTTGGAAGGCTGGGGTTATTGGTGTCTGGCAAGACAGACATTGTAATCGCAAGGCCTAAATGTTTGGGAAGACAGACATGGTCTTTGGAAGGCCTGGTTGGTGGTTGGGAAGACAGAAATGGTCTTTGGAAGGCTAGGGTTGATGTTTTGGGAAGACAGAAATGGCCTTTGGAAGGCTAGGGTTGATGTTTTGGGAAGACAGATACGGTCTTTGGAAGGCTAAGGTTGATTGGGACGGCTGAAATGGTCTTGGAAGGCTGGGGTTGGTGTTTTGGGAAGACAGAAATGGTCTTTGGAAGGATAGGGCTGATGTGGGAAGGCAGCAATGGTCTTTGGAGTTTTGGGAAGGCAGAAGTGGTCTTTGGAAGGCTGGGGTTGATGTGGTCAAGAAGGCTACGGTTTGTGTTTCGGTAAAAAGGGTCCCTGGGCTGATGTTTTGGGAAGACAGAAGTTGTCTTTTTAAGGCTAGCATCGAAGAAATTGTCTTTGAAAGGCTATGTTTTGGGAAGACAGACATGGTCCTCGGAAGGCTGGGGTTGATGTCAGAAATGGTCTTTGGAAGGCTAGGGTTGGTTTTTGGGAAGACAGAAATGGTCTGTGGAAGGCTAGGGCTTATGTTTTGGGAAGACATAAACGGTCTTTGCGAGGCTAGGGGTTGTGTTTGGAGAAGACAGACATTTTCATTGGAAGGCTGGGGTTGATGTTTTGGGAAGACAGAAATTGCCAAAATGTTGCTCTTTCTCCCATGTGGAGGCTCCGCAGGCAATCTTCTGAATTCGGTGCCCCAGACTCCCATGACTCCTGGACACCCTCAGTGCTGCGACTGAAGAGGTCCAAGGAGTGATGGGCGAACACGGACAGCGAGGTGGAGAGACGTGGCAAAACTTGTAGAATGATACAGAATGTCTAGATGGAACAGAGCATTTGTGAGACAGTTGAGGTATTTTTGAAAGTTTTGCTGTTTGCAAACAGTTGATATCTTTCTGACAGAACCTCATGTTGTTTTTGGTTTGCCACTACCACAAATGCATCCTTTTGCGCTCCATGAAGTCCGCGAAGCGCGTTACCCCTCGTATCAAGGGAACGCGATGGCGTGACGGAGGATTCCATTTTTTCTTTCGGTCAGCTGAACAGATTGATCAATCCGCAAAAGGAACATACCAACTCTTCCCCTTTGATATTGGTCTTGTATTGCATAGTTGGATCATGACCGATCTTTTTTGTTGATATAATAGTCGGTATATACAGACAGAGAGACAATGGGTTCCATGGTTTTCCACTGAAGTGAAACAACGACCGATGGACTGATGGCCTTTGACTTTGCTGTGATTTGTGGCCAAAAGGACAACGAAAAAAAGGAAACGGTGGCCCGCAGTGAAGAGTCTACCTTAAGATCCTTAAGGGGCCACCCTCTTTTGGTTCCTTGAAGCTTGGCCGAGAGAGTCGTTTTCAACGCTTTATGACTCGTGGTTGTTGCTGATGCCTTGGTGTTCTGCTATTTGGATCAGCAAGGATCACTTCAGAATCATCCCAAGCAAAGAGGCGGCACCCAACACCAGGACCTTCAAGGACCATCTAGGACCCACAAAGGCGTCAATGGGCGGCCCTTCCAAGATCAAAGATAAAACAGTGGACATGTTGAGCCGGGGCTATGGGTTTGACCCTCCCAATGAAATGTCGGTCCGCGGTCAGCAAGGCACTTCAAATTGATGTCACTGCGCTGCTCGTCGGGAAGTCGGTGCTAATTGTTCCTCCAGGTGTCTCGCTTTTCTGCAACGGGACATTTCAGAGCTATCCGTGGTACTGCTAACCTAGGCCATGCGCCGGCGTCCTACCTGAGTGCAAGCCCCTCACGAACAGCCCCAATTTGTTGCATGGTGCGGCAATGTGCAAGTCACCACAAAAGGGATTCATGAATCATGGGGATTTGGGCCTTCTGAAGCATTGAAATGCTGGATGCTGTATGCTATAGTTCTGCCTGTCGTGTTTTCTTTTGTCACGTTTGGAGCAAAGAAGTTCACCCGTTGAGTCACGCTGTCGGATTCGAGTCGGTCTGGGAGCCCCCTTTGGACACTCTGACCAGGCTCGTGGGGCATCCCGAGGAGGGTGACGCATTAGTGACTTGGGCCGAACTGGCCATGGATTTGTGTCGTTCCGGGGAGGACCCCTAAGAAATCACGAGTCTTTTGTGGAAGAAAGGCCATCGGCCAGGCTGTCGACCCAGAGCCAGAGCCGACCGTTGAAGCCGGGTTTGGTGGCTGGGCCGCGCCGGACCGACGGCCGTGCCTGCGCGTTCCCAGAAACGACAATGGGACCATATTGACTCAGTTGGGGTGGTTTCAAGGGTCAATATGCCAGTTATATGGAGTGTGTATGAGTGTGTGGCTGTTTGAGTCAACAAAGAAGGCCCTTCAATTGACCGACAAACCCAAGGGCTTGGGGTAGATGCAAGGTAGATGCAAATCTCCGCAAGCCGCCAAGACCAGACCCCCGGAAAAACCGAGACAACCCGAAGATGCATGAGGACATGTGGATTCGAATGATTCGACAGTTGAAAAACGTCAATTATATATTATGTTACATTATGTTATTTTATATCTATAAAGGCCGATCAACGCGGGAGAGGGTTTTCTCAGTTTTGGTGGTTGACTATTCCCGTGATGGCAGCATGACATCCTCAGGATTCTTCCAACAGTAGCACAAGCAGCAACGTGCAGCGGGTGGTACTGGTACTTGGTTTGAAGATCGATTGAAATTCCTCTTTGGAATACCAAGCACGCTTAAGTTTGCAAGCCTCCGACATGCGTGCATGTTTCATGTTCATTCTATCACTGGGTTCCAACGGTTTTGACCCCAACGAACATTCGTTCGATTTGTGGAAACGCTGCATTTCGATTCGCTCCGATCGCTCCTGGCTGTTTCGTGAAGCGATTTGGCTCGGCACCCAGGCTTTGGTGAAGAAGGAGTACTTCGGCGCCTGGGCGAAGAGATTCCGATGTCCCCCAGGAGAGTTCCTCTCGATTCGACTGGAAGGAGACCTTGTTCAGTAGCGTCCGATCGCTCTGTTCGTAGCGATGCCCTTGGTTCCTAGTAGCGTCCTCTTGCTCCTAGTAGTACGGCCAGGAGCCCCTAGTAGCGTCCTTGCTCCTAGTAGTACGGCC